ACACACACATTGGCCAGTCCTGGAACTTGAACTCAGGGTCTAGGCACTGTCCCTGAGCTTCTTTTGCTCAAAGTTAGCACTCTACCATTTGGGCCATAGCGCCATTCCTGGCTTTTTATGTGGTACTAATGAATGCTTCATGCATGCTAGGCAAGCTCTCTACTGCTGTTACATTCCCAGCCAATTCAATATTTTAAAGGTGCTCATTAAATGAAATGAATCTCTATCTATAAACTATCAACAAAGCATTGTTTTGAGATACCTTTGCACAGCATCGATTTAGCTAAGCAGGGACTTGATTATACAGACTTCTTTTTGTTAGCTGGTCATAAGAAAATTCTACATGAAGATTGAAGGTAGAAGTGGTTAGTAGCTACTCTTTAGGGTCCAAAGTGCAGCATAATACAGGCCAGTCACATTGCAATCCATGCAGTAGCAGTTGGATAAGCTGTGGGGCTGCTTGGTGGTAAAAGGTACAGGTTTATCCTTACCCTTGGCGTGTAGCATTGTCAAGGTTAAAGACAGGAGGAGGTGGACACAGGCTTGTCCTTATGGGCTCCTAATTGCTCTTGCCCTCTATCATTCATCTTCTTTTCTTGTCTGAAACCAGACAGGGAAAGACTTTCTCTGCAGACTTCAGATCTGACACCAGACACAAAACCAGCAGCCTTATATAAATGCTTGACTACCTCTCACAACTGTAGACATCTCAAACTCTATGATAAATCCCTTATTCTTGGGGGTGGGCTTGGGAGGGAAAAGCTGGGACAGTTTGAGGAACGGGGTGACTTATGTAACTGTAACCCCTCTGTACATCACTTTTACAAGCACAATAAAAAACTTTTAAAATAAACTCCCTATTCTGTACTGCTCAGAGTGCTTCTGGATTTCTGATCAACCCACTACTAACACATTTTGCAGAAATTCATAAGCAGATACACAAATTAGTTTGGAAATGAAGAAGCCAAGAAGAAACTAAATGAGTTTTGGAAAAAAAATAGAGAAGAAATGAGGGGGTAAGGCAGAGGTTTTCTTTGGTAGATATCAAGACTTATTATGCAGCTATTTAATCAGATACTATGCTGTTTGATTAATGAAGTAAAAAGTCTAATTAAAAATAGAGTCCATAAAGACACCCCAAAACACAAAATTATGATATAGAATCAAAGGGGTGTTACCAATCAATAAGGGAAATAACGGACTCTTTAATAAACATGGCTGTGGTAATTGGATATCCATATGAACAAAAATTAATTTATATGCCTACACCCTGTCATACACACCAATGCACTGCAGAATAATTAAAGATCTAAATATGAAAAGAAACATTCTAAAATTAATTGATAGGAGGGCATCTCTCAGGATAGGGAAGAGTTGCTGTTCAAAAACAAACAAATTGCCACCTTAAGTGAAAATCTGATATATTTGAGTATATTGAATGAGAGAGAGACAGACAGACAGACAGACAGACAGGCAGACAGAGACAGAGAAAGACTCTTAGATGATAACATATCAAAAGCAGAATTAAAAATACAAAATGCATTTTAGAAAAATACTTTGCACTGTACATAATTAGCAAAGGCTTGGCATCCAGAATATACTAAGAAATTCTGTCAAGACTTGAGAAACAACCTACTACCAAGAAAGAAAAAAGAAGACTTCAAACAAGAAAATGACCTGAAAGGCTGAGCGAAGAGGAAAAGACAGGGAGAGGTGTTAGTCGTAGCACTAATCACAGAAACGCAAACTTAAATAAAAGTAGGGATGTTATCTTACACTCAGCAGCTGAGTGAAAACTAAGAGTTACCATTAGTGAGAGTGTGGCAAACAAGGAACCTCCCACATAGAACTGGTAGCATAGACTGGGAGCCAGTTCAGAAGCAATTTGGTACTCTCTGTGGAAGATATACGGGTCCTATCACCAGGCATATGCCCTACAGAAACTCTGACAAAGATTTCATTACAGTATTATAACAGAAAAAATGAAAGCTAAAATTCTGTCAGAATAAGAAGGAATAAATAAATTGAGGGCTATTTACAAAAGAGAAGACCAAATAGTGGTCCTGATTTTCAATCAGTGATTTTTAAAAATAATTTTTAGATTAATTATCTTAATTAATTAATTAATTATTTTGGTTGTGGGGCTTGAACTCAGGGCGTGGGGCTCTTTGTGATCAAGGCTAGTAGTCTACCACTTGTGCCACAGTACCACTTCTGGTGTTTGAGTGGTTAATTGCAGATAAGAGTCTTCGGGGACTTTTTCTGCCTGGGCTGGCTTTGAACTGCGATTCTTAGATCTGAGCCTCCTAAGTATTTAGGATAACAAACGTGAGCCACTGGAGCCCAGCTTAATTTAACTTTTTAATTGTTATTATAAAGGTGATGTACAGTTACGTAAGTCAGGTAAAGAGTACATTTCTTTGGACAGTGTCACTCCTTCCCTCACTCCACTTAATGGTTTTAAATTTGCTTAACGTCTGAACAGTTAAATAAAGTGCACTTACATATAAAATTATGGATACATCTCAAAGGAAAAAAAGAATATTAAATACATGTTTTAAAGAAAGCAAGTTTTGCTGAATGCCTGTGGCTCCCACCTGTCATCCTAGCTACTCAGGACACTAAGATCTGAGGACTGCAGTGGAAAGCTGGCCCAGGCAGGAAAGTCTGTGGACCCTTAATCCCATTAACCACCCACGAGCCGGAAGTGGAGCTGTGGCTCAAGTGATAGTGCACAGGCCTGCAGCAAAAAAAGCTGAGGAACACAGTACCCAGGCTCTGAATTCAGCCCCAGCGCTGGCACATAAAGCAAGCAAGCAAACAAACAAACAAAAAAACAAGTTTCAGGATTATGTTCTATCTTTCAATCAAATTCTAAAATCCTCCAAATAATTGTAATATTTTTAGGAATACGTGGTAGATGCTAAGAATATAAAAAGGTGCATCACCTTTATGATAACAATAGAGTAAATTAATTTAAAAATAAATAAATATTCATCTAAAAATAGATGCATTGCAGTTACTTCTCAGAGAACAGGATCAGGGAAAGGTCTAAATAAGACCAAACAGTAATCATGAAGATACAACATAATATCATGCTATATTTGCACATGTTAAATCTGCATGGTGAAAACATTGGTTTATGTTATTTTTGTTTGTTTGTTTTTGCCAGTCCTGGGGCTTGAACTCAGGGCCTGAGCAGTGTCCCTGAGCTCTTTTTTTGCTCAAGGCTAGCACTCTACCACTTGAGCCATAGCACTACTTCTGGCTTTTTCTGTGTATGTGGTACTGAGGAATAGAACCCAGGGCTTCACGCATGCTAAGCAAGCACTCTACCACTAAGCCTCATTCACATTCCCTATGTTATTGTTTTTTTTTTTTTTAATTTTCAGTTCAAGGCTAGCGCTCTACCACTTGAGCCACAGCACCACTTCTGGCTTTTTTCTTTTTGCTTATGTGGTGCTGAGGAATCGAACCCAGGGCCTTGAGCATGTAAGGCAAGCGCTCTACCACTGAGCCACCTTCCCAGCCTGTTATTGTTTTTGTAGGTTGACTTTTTTTTTTTTTTTTTGAGATGGAGTCTCTTTGTATAGTCTAGGTCTTCCTGGCTTAGCCTCCCAAGTTCTGGGTTTGTAAGTGTATACCTGGCTATGATTAGCATTTTGTTTTGTTTTTTAACAATAAAAAGGGGAAATAGAGAAATACAAATACTAGTAATGGTTGAATGTTTATGCCACCCATACTGGAAGCCCTAATCCCCACTGTGATCATATTTGAAATTAAGATCTGGGAAGTGATTAGGGCATGGTGGTTGAACCCTCAGGAATGGAATTAGTGCCCTTCCGAAAGACATCTGAAGGCTGCGGGCGTGGTAGAGTGCATAGAAAGTACAAGGTTCTGTGTTCTAACCCCGGTGCTACCAGACAAAGAGAGAAAGAGAGGGAGGAGGGAGTGGAGAGGGAGAGAGAGGGAGACGGAGTGGGAGAAGGGAAGGAAAAGGAAAGGAAGGGAAGAGACGACAAGATAAGAGAAGACAAGACAAGAGAAGACAAGATATGAGCTGGCGAGGGATACATGCCTGTAATCCTAGCACTTGGGAGGCTGAAGAAGGAGGACCAAGAGCTGGAAGCCAACCGGGGGGCTGGAATTTCTTTCTTTTTTTTTTTTTGGATCCAGTTGTGGGGCCTGAACTCTGGGCCTGGGCGCTGTCCCTCAGCTCTTCAGCTCAAGGCTAGCGCTCTACCACTTGAGCCACAGCTCCACTCCCGGCTTTTTTCTTTTTGCTTATGTGGTGCTGAGGAATCGAACCCAGGGCCTCATGCATGCAAGGCAAGCGCTCTACCACTGAGCCACCTTCCCAGCCTTGGAATTTCAACCCTGTCTAAGGCATTCATTTCTAAGGACTGGTTTTCATTAACTCATAAGATGAGTAGGAACTGGGACAAGAGAGTCTAGGAAGAGATAAAACAGAGGTTCTCTAAGGGGCCGGTGTTCACTAGGGACGTTATTCAATGCTCTTCAGCTTCTGTCCCTCCGTTCTCAGTGTTTGCTGTTGCAAGGGTTTGTGTCTCTTCCCACCAGGGCATCCTCATGAGTGCAAAGTCTGTACTGGGATTTTGGATTAGCTGGAGACAAAGAGAATCTAATGACCTTAAAAAAAATCATGTCTTGCCATTAGGCAGAGTTCAATAAATTATACATTGAAGTAGCCCCACTGGGGAGGGGGAGACCACCCTTCCAGCCCAAGTTATATGAACAGGGGTTTAAGGTGTCAGGGTGCTCAGATTTCATACAACCGTGGTGGATTTAAATGGGAACGTTACACGGAAGGGGGGATGTCTTGGCAGTGTTATTTCAGCGGGTACTTCTCACTTCCCAGCAGGCTTTTTGTCCTCTCAGTGTCTTATAGTACCTCTGCTGTGTGCAATGGGGCAAGCATTACCTCCGATGATCTCTGCCAGGTCGTGGATGGAGAGACGGCACATGGACACATTAACTGACTCCTCACATTGCAGGCCACGGTCAAGTTGCATAAGACTCCTTTTTGCTATTTATTCTCCAGGACAGCATCTTCTCCTGGACTTTGAGTGAGAACTCCTGGACTCCGCTGCTGAAGGAGGTACAGATGCAGACTTTTGGTGACTGACCCACCTTCACGTTCTCTCTCGATGCCTATTTTCTTACTTTATGTCTAAACAACAAAAAAAAGTGTGTGTGTGTGTGTGTGTATGGATGTGTGCTGATTCTGGAGCTTGAATACAGGGCCTAGACAATATCATTGGGCTTTTGTGTTCCAGGCCAGTGCTCTAGTACAAGAGCCACAGCTGTACTTGTGGCTTTAGCCACAAACAGGTAAGACTCTTACACACTTTTCTTTTTTTCTTTTCTTTTCTTTTTTTTTTGGTCAGTCGTGGCACCTGAACTCTGGGCCTGGGCGCTGTCCCTCAGCTCTTCAGCTCAAGCATAGCGCTCTACCACTTGAGCCACAGCACTACTTCCGGCTTTTTTCTTTTTGCTTATGTGATGCTGAGGAATTGAACCCAGGGCCTCATGCATGCAAGGCAAGCACTCTACCACTGAGCCACCTTCCCAGCCCTTTTTATTTTATTTTTTGAATTAGAAATGATGAGTAATCATTGAGCCAGAGATAAGGGAGTTCATATTATGTAGAATCATGGAATCTCTAGGTCAGGAAAGGACAGGTGGTTTAATTTTGTCTTAAAGGGGAATTAGTCGGGGAGTTAAAAAAATAGAGAGAGAGCGGGAGCTGGTATCTCATACCTATAATCCTAGCTACTCAGCAGGCTGAGATTAGAGGATCAGGGTTCAAAGCCAGCCCAGGCAGGAAAGTCTGTGAAACTCTTATCTTCAATTAACCACCAGAAAACCAGAAGTGGAGCTGTGGCTCAAGTGGTAGAGTACCAGCCTTGAGTGAAAAAGCTAAGAAACAACATCCAGACTCTGAGTTCAAACCCTAGGACCAGCACAAACAAACCAAAACCCCACAAACAACAAAAAAACCCCAATAAAACAACAACAACAAAAATAGTCTACATCCTCGTCCTTAACCTACTATAATGGAGCCAGGAATTTTAAAAGCTCGGAGTGGAAGGGAAGGGAAGTTGAGGGAGGAGGAGAGTGAGTTCAGAGCCAGCTTTGGATTACATGACAAGTTTGAGGACAGGCTAGACCATATGGTAAAATCTTGCCTCAAAGAAAAAAAAAAAGAAGAAGAAAAGGGGCTGGGAAGGTGGCTCAGTGGTAGAGCACTTGCCTTGCATGCATGAGGCCCTGGGTTCGATTCCTTAGCATCACAGAAGCAGAAAAAAAAAGCCGAAAGTGTTGCTGTGGCTGAAGTGGTAGAGCGCTAGCCTTGAGCTGAAGAGCTCAGGGAAAGTGCCCAGGCCCAGAGTTCAGGCCCCATAACCAACAAAAGGAAAAGAAAAGAAAAGAGAAGAACAGAAAAGAAAGAAGAGAAAAGAAGAGAAAAGAAAAGAAAAGAAAAGAAAACAATTTGTGCATGGGTGGTCCTATGCAGGTTTAGAAACCACAACTTATGTAGAACCATTCCAAAATGCACCGCTACCAGGATCTTATCTACAATGGTGGATCTTATCTACAGAGGTCCAATGTAAACTAACAGGCAACAGAGTCAGGGATAAAACCCCTTCAGAGCAATTGAGCAGATGGGAGATGGGCTGGATGGTGGTATTTTGTACCCTGGACTTTGTTTTGGCCTGTGAAGTCTAGTGCTTAGATAGGAAAGTTGGAGAGAGCTTGCGTGGAGCCAGGCTTGGTGATATGGGCCAGCTCTTTCCCCCACCTGAGCCTCAGTTTCCTCATCTTTAGAATGAGGATGTAGACTTGTTGATCTCGAAGTTGCTTCAAGGCTCTTTGAACAGGTTTAGCACATAGCCTTTTTGGTGTTAACATGCTATCCGTTGTTAGGTGGTCTATACATATTATTTGTACTGTTTTCTGTGGGTTCAGCGCTTGTCCTTTGGAATCTGTTGGCAGCCACAGGCCTTCCTGAGCTGCCTTCAGTCTGTGCCCAAGTGCGCTCAGCACCTGAGCCCTACAACTCCGATCATCCCCGGACAATAGGTCTGTCATGTCAGGATAGAAATGCACCCTCCAAGAAGGCCTCTTGCCAAGAAAGGGGCTGGAAATACGCATGGCAAAAGGGTTGGAAGGAAGAGGCAAGTCAGTGTAGCTCAGAGGGGGTTAAGTGTCCAACCAGACATCGCTGCTCAGGGTTAGAGTAATTCTATCTGCTGCCTGCCATTTCAGAAGGTGACCAAAGAAGGCTCCAGCAACTGGCAGACACGGTGTGTTTTCCAGTTACCAGGCTCACCTTGCTCGTGGGTCATGGCTGCTTGTTGGCAGAAGAAGCCTGTAGTAGTTATAGTTGCTGGCATCAGAGCTGGCTACTGAGGCCCAAGGCTGGCCAGCGAGAGGAGACTTAGCAAGGAAAGAGGATCTGCAGCATCACTTCTGTGGCCAGACAAGAAGTAAGCGATCACCATCGCTGGCAAAGAACCAAAGAGAACAATGTGAGTAGCGAGGGCCCATGGCCGGGAGCAGAGCAGTGAATTTTTACTAGGAGTCTTTATTTATTAATTTTTCACTGGAGTCCGGGTCAAATGAGGGCCCGATGTAGCGGAACACACTGTCATCCTTGCCCTTGGGAAGTTGAGGCAGGAGGGGATCAAGTTCCAGGCCAGCTTGGGCTACTGAGTGAGTTCAAGGTCGGTCTGAGCTAGATCCTGAGATGCTCCCTCCAAGAAAACACAGAAGCAGCACAACAGCCCATTCAAAGGAGGAAATAGTAATTGAGCCGAGTCAAAACCCATGGAACTCAAACAGATGGAGCCATTTTCTGTTGGGCTGGTAAGCCAGTAGGCAAGTTCTTCCTCCATACAGATAGACTCATCTATCTACAGAAGCTAGTGTGGAAACTACAGCTGAAGTGGCATTTGCTGTGGGCTTAGATTGCCATTTGAACATGACTTTGGAGATGGGAGTGGTGGACAGATCTTCCAAGAGACAAAATTAGCAGAGGCAAGAGGGTGCAGCAGTGACTGGCATGTTTGAGAGGCAGAGAGAAAGCTGGGGCTGTGGAGGATACACAGATGTCCTGGAGGAGACAGAAGGTTCTGGATGGTGCGCAGTAGCTGGGCTTGATGGCGTAGGAGTGAACGGGGGAAGGAATTAAAGGAGGCTCTCATTGAAGAGTCACATTCATGGCTTAGACATCTTTTCCTGGAAGCAGAAAAGAGGACAAGGGCAAGAATAAAACCGAACCATATGTTAGGGGACCACAGCAGAGCCTGGTCATTACCATAGATCTGGTAGTGGTGTGGTGTCAGGCAGTGTGCGGTACCAAGAAAGGGAAGGTCATTCTTGTTTTTCTCATTCTGGTAAGTTCCAGGCTCTCCTTTCCCACCTACACTCAGTTGGGCTTGGGTGAGATCCACCTATCTGTTTTATTAAGTCATGTGAAAATAACTCAGAAGCTGGGAGCCAGTGGCTGATGCCTGTCATCCTAGCTACTCAGGAGGCTGAGATCTGAGGATCATGGCTCCAAGCCAGGAAAGTCTGTGAGACTCTTATCCCCAGCGAACTACTCAGAAAAAGCTGGAAGTGGTTCTGTGGGCTCAAGTGGTAGAGTGCTAACCTTGAACCCAAAGAGGCTCAGAGGCAGCACCCAGACCCTGATTTCAACAACAACAATAGACTCAGAAGTAAAGAGACTGGGGAAAACTTAAAATAATGAGTGAATTTTTAGAATTCTCCATAAGGAGTATGTAAAGGTAACTGGAAATTTTTTTTAAGGAACTGTGTATTATTTAGGGAATAGCTGTTAACCATGGGGAAATACACATACATATGTACATATACTTGTCATATATATTATATGTGCATACAACATTGCAGCAAATTGCATACCCAGTGGAAAAAAATGTGCATAGTATAATTTATAGTTCACTGATTGATCATAAGGCAAGCATCCACACAACCATTCCAAAATAGGGGATGTTTCTGTCACCCCTGGAAATCTCCTTTGTGACATTTTATTGACCATTACTCCCTGTCCACTACCCTCTAGTCCATCCCCCAGGGGAACCATGATCCTATAGAAGTATTTTTTTAAAAAATGATTTGCAAGGCACTATGAAATAACAAGCAAATACTCTTTTATTTCTTCTCTTTTCCAATTTTAGATTTTGGTCCCTTTCTGTCCCCCACCCCGACCCCTACCCCAGCTTCCTAAGTAAGTTGAGTGTGAGTATCCTAAAATGATCACTGGTTCCACCCATACAGTAGTAATACAGTTAGGATCAGGGCCCTCTCTTGCTTTAATCTTGTCTATATAAGTCCAGCTGTGGTTGTTGATCAATTAATCACCTCTGTAACTTTCTGCATATACAGCCATGAGTTTCCAGAAAGCCCATCCATCTTAAGAGAAGAATTTGCTTTTGTTTAAACAATAGTAAACTCTCATTCCTCCAACCATTTAAAGGGAAGCCAGAGAGGAGAGAGAGAAGAGAGTGAAAACTGTTAAGCCAGGGCATCTTCACATTGAAGGATGGAGGTTCTGGGCATCTCTGTTCATCCCTTTTCTCAAAAGAGCTGTTGTTATTGTTGTTTTTCTTTTTAAGCACATGGTCATCTTACTGGCTCCATCCACCTGGGTTACACATGCTTCTTCTACTCCCAGGAGAAGAGAGTTACACAGAAAAAGGATCTGCTCATGAAAGACCAGCTAACCCAACTGTCTGACTAAGTACACAGGGCCATGTAGAAGAGGTTGCATAGGCGATCCATGGAGCCAGGTGTGGTGAAGACTTGGAAAAGTGGGAACACCAAGAGTAGAAGAGCTACCTACGTCTACCATCCTGGAGAAGGCCGGGCCTGACATCTCCAAGTTCACTTCGAGGGTTACGAGGGTCACCAAGGGTGTGCTACACTTGACATTTTCACAAATTGCTCTGTTGTAGGTTTTTTTTAAAATTTTATTGGTTTATTCCAATTGTTGTTCCAGGGACTTTCTGGCAACCAAGTTTTCCAGACTGGCTTAGAATCCCTTGTTAATTGAGTCAAGATATATATGTGTGTGTGTGTGTGTGTGTGTGTGTGTGTGTGTGTGTGTGTGTGTGTGTGTGTGTGTGTGTGTGTAGGCCTGCTTTGAACTCTTGCCTGTTTGAAGGATGGACAAATAAATTCCAGGCAGGTACACCATAGGAGTAAACAGGAATGAGGTTCACACGTCTGAGTTTACTGGACAGAACTTGCCTGCTCAAGTGTTAGGTGCAAGGGGTGAGATGTGAGCCCAGGGAACCCGTTCTGAAGAGTGAACAGGTGCTGAGAATTGGCTTCCTCCTGGGCCCTCAGGGAGGAGGTAGGCTGGAGGAGAATTAGCAGCAGTCAGAGCTGTGCAGATTAACAGCATCCCAAGGACCCAGGTAAATTCACAGGTACCAGTGATCCCCTGTGTTTACACTTCACACCAACTCTCCGCAGATGCTTAGCTTAGGAGAAGCTTGGTAAGAGGTCTCAGTGAGACAGCGGGCTGTGATACTGTTAGGTTTAGCTCAGTTTATAGAGCAAAGACTATAAAAGTTAAGTAACCCAAAGGAGTCCTAGGAGAAGGGTCTGCAGCATCAGAATGTGTATTGCTGTTGAAACACATTTTTTTTGGTCTCACATTTATTATTTAAAAGCTATGGTAAAGGCAGCATCCACAGAACACAATCTTTGACTTTCATGACATGTACCTCAATAGTATAGTTAAAAAAAAGTGTTATATCAACTGTCAGGTGAAATGGATTGCTATCATTTTCAGAACAAAGTATGTCCAGATTCTCTTTCTTTAATAAATAATACTTTTCAATGGTAGGTAGAAGACCAAACATACCTCTTAAAGCTCTTTAAAGATAAGGGTTCAGGGTTGGAGATGTGGCTCAGTTGTAGAGCACTTGCTTAGTGTACATGAGATCTTGAGTTCAATCCCTAGGATGACAAAATAAAACAAATCCAGCCCACTTGGGAGGCTGAGGCAGGAAAACTTCAAGTTCAAGGCCAACCTAGCTATATAGCAAGCCCTTGGAGGAAAACAAGCAAAACAGCATTATTTTATTATTTAGGCTTTTTGAGATAGGGTCACCCTATGTAGCTCAGATTGTCCTCAAACTCAAAATGCTTCTGCCTCTGCTTCCTGTGTGCTGGGATTGGAGGTATATGTAACAATATCTGTTCATTATTTCAATAAGTAAAATTAATAAAATAAAATCAGGGTTCAGTACTTTGTTTAGCAGATGTTACTAGTAGCAATGAGAAAATAGTGTACTCACCAAACTTGGGAAGATTGCCTCAACATGTAACCTGGAGAGTGGGGCAGATTGAGGAAGGGGCCATAATTAAGATGGATTTAAAAGCTATAATCATCACATGCAAGTAGAGACCTTGTTTGGATCCCAATTTGAACAAACCCCTGTAAAATGAGACAATTAGGGAAATATGAATATCAGCTTGATATTTGACGCCATTAAGAAATAGTATGATTTCAAAAGTTTAAGCGTAAGGATATTGTGGTTTTATATCTGTCTGTCTGTCTGTCTGTCTGTCTTTCTGTCTGCCTGCCTGTCTGCCTGCCTGCCTGTCTGTCTGTCTGTCTCTCTGTATCTATCTATCTATTGCTTTTGGTTGTTTATATTGTGACTTGTTTGGGAGATGAGGTCACTCTATATAGATTGGCCTGGAACTTGCAGTATAGCCCACATTGACCTTGAACTTCAGCTTCTCTTGTTGCCATGTCACAAGCACTAAGATTACAGGAGCCACCAGCTTAGCTCTGGATTTGTTTTTGTAAAAAAAATTGTCCTTTAGGTCTACATATGCAGATGAGGCATTTATAGATGAGACGGTGTATGAAATTTGAATGACCCAGTGGACCAAATGGGGATTAAATATATAGCAGGCAGAGAAGTGAGAGAAGAAATAGAATGTTCTGAAGTGTTTGATGGTTATTGATGAAGATGATGATGGATACAGGAGTGACGGGTTCAATATACTTCTCTACTTTTCTGTGTTGATGATTTCTGTTTGCAAAGGTAAAAATGAAAAAGAAATCTCAGTTGGTGCTTACATCTTGGCAGGGAAGGGAATGGAATTGGTACTGAGGTTTTCCCCTCGGGTTGTGCTTACAATTTTACCTTTGTTATAGTTACAATCAGAGAAACCTCATTGGTCTCTCTCTAATCCCTATTCTTTGATTATATGATTCTGAAACATTGTGATTGATTGATAGGACTGCTCATCATAATCATCAGAGTTGGCTCCACATCAGGGCTGGAGAGAGCCAGAAAAAGAAGAGAGTACTTATTGACACAGAGAATATATATATTTGCTGGTTGTGGAGCTTGAACTCTGGGCCTGGGCACTGTCCCTCAGCTCTTCAGCTCAAGGCTAGTGCTCTTGAGCCACAGTGCCACGTCCAGCCTTTTCTGCTTATGTGGCACTTAGGAATTGAACCCAGGGCCTCATGCATGCAAGGCAAGCACTCTACCACTGAGCCACCTTCCCTGCCCATATAGAGAATATTTGTAAGTTGGGTGGGGGCATGTGAGAAAGCAGAAGTCTATGTTTAGAGCACTTGTAGAAACAGGAGTAGGGACTGTGATTATGATCTGTATGGCAAAGCTCATTTTACAGACCTAATATCACAAGCTCAAAAAATAATTTCAATCTTTAGCCTTCTAATTAGCTATACTGAATACTGATACAACTATATTAGTTATCTATGCTGTGTAACAAATAACCCTAAAATTTAGTGGGTGAGAACCAGAAACATGTACTACCTAACCATTTCTGAGGATCTGGGCATGGCTAAGTAGAATAGCTCTGGTCTGGGTTTTTCACAAGTCTGCAATAAAACTATTGTCCAGGACTGCAGTTGAGAAGAGTAACTGGGAAGACTCCTGCTCTAATTTCATTCATGTGGCCTCAAATATGCTTCCCAGGTCGCTCACATGGGACTTTCCTTCAGGCCACCTCATGCTATGACCCTGGACTTCACCCAGAGAGAGAGAGAGAGAGACCCAAATGGGAGGAACATATAGAAGCTCCAGTCCTTTTAGGGAAGCATTGAAAGTGACGACCCATCTTTCCTTGTTTTAAAAGGGAGTCAATAAATCCAGCCAGGGTGATCAACTCATACCTCCCCTGCCGCCCCTCCCCCCAAACATCCCTTTCCAAGGACTTTCTTTCTGTTAGCACATCTTGTCCCACATCTTTGGAGCTCTCTGAAGCCTGCCTCAATCCAATCTACATTGTAAGGGATGGATTTATGTCTTTGCATACAAAGAAGTACATCTTGAAGACTCCCCAATGCAACCATCTTTTAAAGATTGACTTCTCTTCATTTTTGAAAAACAAGTCTTGAGAAGCTGGGAGCTGGTGGCTCACGCCTGCTCAGGAGGCTGAGATCTGAGGATCACCGTTCAAAGCCAACCGGAGCAGGAAAGGCTGTGAGATTCTTATCTCCAATAAACTACTCAGAAAACCAGAAGTGGCGCTGTGGCTCAAGTGGTAGAGTGTTAGTCTTGAACTGAATTGTTGAGGGATAGCACCCAAGCCCGGAGTTCAAGCCCATGACTGACCAAAACAAAACAAAACAAAACAAGGCCTGAGAGCCATTCATGGTTTATGTATAAAAATGTGTGCCTCCATTTCTAAAGATATGATGAAGCCTGCTAAGGATAAGTAAATAAACATGTAAACCAATTGTAGACATAGAATTTATTGAGGACAGAGGGACTAATGAGTCTTAACATACTTATTTTTTTCTATCCTGTTATTATTCTGAAGCAAGTATTGGTATTGAAATACTAATTGGTATTTTGTTTTGATTTCTCATCAGATTTAAACCAGCCAGGTGCTGGTGGCTCATGCCTATAATCCTGGCTACTCAAGAGGCTAAGATGTGAGGATTGAGGTTGAAGAAGGAGGAGAAGGAGGAGGAGGAAGAGGAAGAGGAAGAGGAGGAGGAGGAGGAGGAGGAGGAGGAAATCAATGTTTAAGTATAAAAAGATTGTTATTTATTACAGATGCTTAGAATTTGCAGTAAAATGAGGATGAAAAGGAAATCATCTGAATATGTTTGTTGATTCCCAGGCCCTTTAAAAATATTTTTATTGTTAAGTAGTTGTCCAAAGAGGTTATAATTCCATAAGTTGGGTTGTGAGTACAATGCATATTGATGTCACCCTTTCCATTGTTCTTCCTAATTATTCCCCTTCCTATCCTAGATCCTCATTTTATGGATGCTGTTTTGTGTCTGACATAGCAGTACTTGTAATATACATGTATTACTCTACTCCTTCCCATTTCTCCTCCTGATCAATAGTATGAGCTTCTATCTTATTACAAATTCTTCACTGGTACTCAGTGAATGGCTATGTTTTTTTTTCCAGTTAAGTGGATAGTCTATGGTTTCCTGTAACATCTCCTATGACTTGGTATTTTAATGATTTTGAATTTTAGTACACTTTTAACTACTTTGACTATTTTCAACCCAGATTTGTAGTCAATCCTTTTGGTTTTGACGAGAGGGAAAAACCCATTCATTCATTCATTCATTCATCCATTCATTCAGGCTATCTGCCCGTGCTGTGTCCACTCTGGCCAGCACTGAGGACATAGAACAGAGCAAGAAGAATTCGTTTACTGTCTGTGTCTCAGGCAACTTGGAGGCTGTGGTTAGCAACATGAGGTCTATTTCTTTTGTCCACCACTGTGGGCTCTGTGCCCCTTCCCTGGGCTCCAGGAGTGCCTTTTGCTCACAGCTATCTGACCTCTAACATCGTGTGCAGGGCAAGATTTTTTCCACTGTCTTCTGAGCTCCTTGAGGGCAAGGACTCTGTGTTTGTTCAATCTTTAAAAATAAATAAGAAAGGCATTGATGTCCTGGTTAAGAAAGCAAGATTGCTGTTCTCT